CCATGTACACCAGGCCTGGGCAGACCAGCCAGCCCCCGCTTCAGGACAACCGTGGTCCTCAGAAGCCTCTGCGGATGTCCAAACGCTGTAGCTCGCTCCAAGGGGCGTCCCACAGCCCTGTCTGTGGCCTTTGACATCCGGAGAGATCTGTGTCAAGTAGGAGAAAATCACTTTCCACTCTGGGGGCACTGCCCGGGCCCCCCCAGAGGTACTTACTGGTGTGGTTAGCGGGCCCTGAGGGCCGGCTTTCTGCCCCATTCCCGGGGAAAGCCTTGCCCTGAGGACAAGGGATCCTCTCGATGGCTAAGCAAAGTGGGGCGTTTGCGTCCATTTTCGACCTGGTCCACATGCACTGCCCCAGGTCCCTACCCACTGGAACACTTCCAGTTGTTGCCCCAAGCCCCAACCCACTCTTCTCTTGACCGCTACCCACAGACCACCTGGCCTCCCCGCCAAGCCCCTAAACCCTCCCTAGGTCCCTGCTGCTCGTAGGACGGCCTGCGGGTCACCTTGTCCCAGCCCACAAGTGTTCCTGCTGCTTTCCTCACTGCTTCAGGCTGGTCACCTTGCTCTGCTCCCTCGTAGACCTGATGGAGTTCAGGTGTGGGCCAGGGCACGCCTCCTTGTTTCAGAAGTCCTGTCCCCTTGTTCATTGGACCAATGAGTGAGCAGCACCTACCAGATTGCCCTGTTTCTCAAGGCATTGACTTAGTTCATAAAATTCAGGAACAGATGAAAAATTATTCTCTTTGGAAAATAATAGGGGTTCTTTCACATACAGGGTGTGGCATAGGAGGTTTACAGTTGTATGAGAAAGAATTTATTTGTAATTAATTATTGTAGTATTTATTAATTATTGTAGTATTTTCTATTGAAATAATGGTAAACCTTTTTTGAGGCAAATTTCAACAAAGTCATAAAATTGATAAGAAACCCATTTCTCCATCAACTCCTGTGACCTCTATTTTAACTTCTGATAAACAGAAACTTCATCTTATGCAATCACATTGTGAACAGTAACACAACCAAAAAGGTCCGATCAGTTATAGGTGTCAGTCAAAGAATTCACATTCTGATCTTCAATTTCAAGAGGCCTAGACTTGGAGTAAACATAATACTCTGAAGCTCAATGAGACACCATAAAAAAAATCAACTGAAAACATCCAAACAGTGACTGGATAGCTAACGTGGGTTATCCTGTGTTGGTTTTTTAGTTGTAAAGTTTTTTAGTATCTCAGATTAGTGTATATTCCTAAAACAATGTTCAGTTATTTTAACAATAGCTGCTTATTAAACATCTAGAGGCCCGATGCACAAAGATTCATGCAAGAATGGGCCTTCCTTCTCCTGGCTACTGGCACTGCCTTCTCTATGGCCAGAGCCACCTTCCTCCTTCCCACGCTGCCCAGAGGCCCAGAGGTGCTGTGGTGGTGCAGAATGCCTGTGTCATCATCATGGCAACAACACAAGCCTCCCGGCCCGGCCTCTCAGTACCTGCAAATTAACAAGCCATCTTTGTTGGTTTAATTTGCATATTCACTCCTGATTGGCTAGTGGGTGTTGCAAAGGTACAGTCAATTAGCATATTACTTTTTTATAAGGTAGATTGACTTTTGGCTTAAGGGCAGTAATTCTGGCATGATAATCATGAAAATAATTGTGATAAAACAGAGTAAATACAGAAGAAATTACAGCCAGCCTCCATAAGATGACGACCAACCTGGAAGGTTACCCTGGGCGAGTAAACGGATTTATGCAAGACTAGGATACAAGTGCTCCTGCTCACTTCATACCTGCAGAAACCATCGTGCCCGCTGGATTACCGTTCCTCTGCTAGCGCGTGTGCACGGACCGCTACTCCAAGTACTCTGTGCTGAAGGGCGCTCGAATCCCTCTGAAGTCAGAACAGAATACTGCAAGGTGATGTATGTGCCACCTCTTCCTGAGGAATTCTTTATGTGTGCAAATCTGCAACCCGGCGGGAAGCATGGATCAGGGGACCGGCAGCTTGAGGGGGCTGCACTGCTGGGGCTGCAGTGCACTGGTCACAGCCTCGGGCATCCTTTCTCCTGCAATCTCTCTCACTCGCAAATAGGTTTCCATCCTGTGCCCCAAAGAAATGGAGGAAGCTGCCTCAAACTTGTAAAAGGGACAGGAAAATGTAATAACACACAACTCCTGCATCCAGGTTGGTACTTCTTCTCACGCATTCTACATAAGAACTATGTATGTCAGGGTTTGCTTTCTGCCCCACAAAAAACAAAGTAGTTGCTAGACTAGGGTACGGCCGTGACAACAGAGGGCATCAGAGGACCCTGTTACTGAAGATTTGAGCCAACTGTAAAGTACCATCTCCCAAAACCATTATCTTTTATTTATACTTTTTCATGCCAGGACTCCAATGGGATTGGACTGGCTTGCTTTTGGAAGGGTTTAGGTGTGGGCTGCACACACACACTTGTCAATTTAGCCAAATAAACTTGTTGATAATCGACCTGCATGTACAATTTTCTGACTTGGGCCCCACACAAGTCAACTGGGTGGAGAAACTATTTTATATTCTATCCTGGCAAGAATATAGGTAAACATGAGAAAATACTTTCTGGCAAAAAATGCTTCATCAAAACAAACATGGAGGACAAATCTTATTTCTTCTAGTGTTGCAAACTAAGAATTTAGCTAAGAGCTCCAATTAAACAAGGTCAACTTTGGCTTGAAATAAATAAATGGGTTCTTCATAATGCAATGTACCTCGGAGATGAAAATGAGAAACGACAGGTCACATGGGCCAGGAGAACGTGGAGATGCCTCCTACAGGGCCTTCCCTCCAGCTTTGCAGGACCAACCCTGACCCAGAGCTGGCTCAGTCACTGCCCAAAACTTTAGAAAAACTAACTTTCACAGATTCTACTCTGCCCACTTTTTGTTTAGACATATACTATAATAAAAAGAAGACAATATAAAATATTTCTCAATTTACTTAATACAAAAACATCCAAACGTTTTAATGCCAATTCACATTATAATAAAATGCTTTTATAGGGAAAGCTCTGTTGTTGTTGGCCAAACAATAGTCTCTCCAAGAAAAGCATTTGGGTATATTATTAAATTACTGGAGAACCTATCAACATTTTTCTTAAAAATCCAATTTTATTTCTGAAGAAGTTACTATTAAAACCACTCAGGAGAGACTTTAGTTGCAGGTGTTATTGATAAGCCTGCAATAAGCAGGCCGTTGAGAAATAAAAGTTGGCCTTCGTGGTAAAGTGGAATTTTTCCTTGATACTAGAATGTTACTGGTGCAGCAAATCAAACTATTCAGGGCACAGGTAGTACCCGTGTACATTCTTACAGTAATTCAGTGTTCAGCAATACAATCCAAAACACTCACAGTCTAACCCACGTCCTCCACAAAATCTATCAACTCTGGTTGACAAGTGCTTAGAAAAATAAAAGCTGACCACCTTTCCTTTTACTTCTCTGAGTAATGACTTCACACTGAGGACTTCCATTAGATGACTTACATGTTCCTAAGATCACACTTCTCTCTCTCCCACTCCCTAAGGAAAGGACAAACTGAATTGGCAGAGGCAACTCTGAAAAAGATCCTGCGAGTCAGAAGTGTGACGTATCCCTAACGTCTTCTTTTTCTGCTTCAAGGTCTCTGAAGAGGTGACCGTTAGTCTGACATAGCCTCATCGACTCAAGCATCACGCTCCATTTAGAGTCAAACGGAATTGAGAAGAAAGTTTTTTCCCGTTTGCCAAATCTTCCTATTTTTCTTTGCCTTTTAAGAATTGCTAGAATATGCTTCAAAGTCTAAATAACTAAATAGCACTGTGGGTGTAGAAAAACAAAACACAGCTTGACCATAGCCGGAAGGGGCCTCAAACAGCAGCACTATTTCTTTTCAGATTGAGACACAATGTTCACAAGATGCAGACTACAGACTTAAAAAAAAAGTATTTATCCTACCCATTTAACATGAAATGGATCAGGAATCCCACACCACTGATTACATTGGGATTTAATAACCATATCCGCTTCCTAGAGCATCGCGGGAGCCAGCTTTTACTGTTGGATGATTCTGAAAGGGGAGCTTTATTGCCTGGACTAGCGCGATGCCAATACGACAGCAGCTGGTGAAGTCATGTTAAGTGACAGAGGGAATGGAAATGTTCGGTAAGAGTTGGTCCCTGACGTTAACATGAGTATGCCATGGCGAAGCGGGGGCAATCTGACCAATAGGCGACGTTTCGTTTGCCCACTCACTCAGCATCCTGCTATGAAGCCACTCCTGACATTTTAGAGGGTTAACCCAGGATACCATAAGCTTTTCCTGGAAGCATCTGTGAGTTTGACAACATGGTCACGGAGCTGCAAAGTGCACAAAGCTCAAGGCACAGAGTAGAAAGAAGTTGTGAACTAATCGGTGAGAAGGGATAGCAAAAGCAGAATTAGCATTTTCCTTTTACAAGACTTTCTAAATGTAAACAAAGACCAACTCTTTTAAAGGAGTTTGTTTTGGTTAGGGGTGAAAAATACTGTATGGTAATGATCCGCTTGATTTTAAAGCTAAAGGTATCCTGATGTGTGACATGACTATGCCGAACGCCAAATCCACAAATGAATAAAACAGTGCTATAAAAATTCTTCTGCTCTTATATTTTTGGAGGAAGCTGCTGATTTGGGCTGCCAGATTTCACTTAGCAGCGGTCACTTTCAAGATGCTTGTTCCTCATGGATTAATAGGTTTCATTAAAAGATTGTCCCATTTCAAAATCATCCCCGAGTCTAGCAGCAACTGACAGTGTTTTTTTTTTTTTTTTGTTAAAATTTTGTTTTGTTTTTTAAAATTACAAGTCAAAGAAGTCCGACGTCCTCTTCCGAGAGAGCAGCCTTGGGAGAGCGCCTGAGAGCAGGACCCGCTGTGCTGGGAAAAGTCTCGGCAGCTCCGGTGTGTCCTTGTGGCCGGAAGGAAAGTACCTTCAACACAGTCACTAACTGTACCCTCTGGAACTCGCACAGGCTGAGGGGCTGTTATAAGTCAGCTCATCCCCAGCTCTCTTCCGGGACTGGTCACCTCTCATAAAACCATTCTGCATGAGTTCTCTTTGAAGTTTCTGATCTTGAGCAGCATATTCAGAAAGTTCGGATTCCACCGCCGGAGGAAGGATATTTGGAATAAATTTAGAAAATAGAGTTGGAGCCATCTGAACCCACTCTGGTCGGAGAGTGTACAGGCCTTTCACAGTGTTTGCCATAGTTGAAGGTGTGACCTGAAATGCTGTTGACTGGGCTTCTAAAAGTAAAGGCATTAGACTGCAGCCCCAGGGGTGACTCCCCGATGTGCCTCCCGTCCACCCCCCTCCGGCGCCCTCGTGCTCAGCGGGCAGCCCGGCCCCGCTCACCTGCGCGCCCATGGTGCACGCGACCATCCCTGGCAGCCAGAGGGCCGCCCAGGCTTTTAGTAGGAAGATACAATTAACTGCCTTTTAAGGGTGGTCATGGGGTGGCGGTTAATGTAATAGTGTCCCCACTGAGGGGTGAAGTGTGAGGATACTTTCAAATCCTTGTCCAAAGTACATTTTTAACCAAAAACAAAAGAAATATATGTATGTATGTATGCATGTGTGCATTTAGAGAGATCAGGGGAGAAAATGAGAAAGCAAGCATGGTAAAACACTAGCCATGGGCAAATTCAGACAAGCAACAAGCAAAAACCAGTCTATGTCATCTATTCTACCTAGCCAGGAACTCATGAAAGAAAGAACACTATAATGCCAAAAAATAGAAAATTGATAATTTCAGGGAGTTAATTACAATTTTGAGCTTTGCTCTTTCTGAAAAGTTTGCCAGTGTCTTTATTTATTTTTATTTTTGCATTTCTCTATGGATCCATGAAAATTTATAACTAACTAGTGTCCAGAAACTAGCAATGAGAATGTTCTGGAAGGGGGGCCCAAGAACTGTGGTGTGTGTGTGTGTGTGTGTGTGTGAAGCGGATCAGATTAAACTGCTGATCAGCCAGGCTTGGGCCAGGGCTGTGTGTGTTGCTGGCAGCAGGATCTTAGCGTACCAGACTGGCCTGAGATCAAAGCTCCTGTTTGACCCCTTTCTGTGTTTATGACTGTGATCCTGATGGAGAGTGCGGACAGGAAAGCCACTAAGCTGTGCCCCTTACTCTCGTGAGAGCCATCTATTCCTGTCCTGGCCGTTGGTGACTATCAGCTGCGCAGCCAAGCAGCCCTGGCAGGTGACGCTGCTGTGAGCTTGAACTTGAGGGGGCGGGTGGATAGGGAGTGAGCATGGTCTCTGTGGCCTGGGCGGCATCTCTCCCCTAGTAAGAATGAGTTTGCAGTTAGAGGGCCGAGCTCTTGGGAAATATTTTAGGTTTCTCTGAAATTTTTAAGTTATTGAACCAAGTTGAGAAAAACACCTATTTTCTCATAACATTTTTGTGTCTCTGTGGAATATGAAAGTATAGTAAATTATCAAAATAAAAAATGCGTAGAACAGTATTTTATGAACATCGTTAGTAACAGCTTCCTCTTCTATGCTTTTAAAATTAAAATTGTTACAGCGAATCCTGTTATTATAAAAAGGAGAAAGTGGATATTTTGGTTGCATTTCTTTTCTACAATAAACAGTGCTACAGTAAAATTTCTTATGACATGTTCTTTTATTGCTTATAACATGTGCTTTTAGGTTAGATTCCTGAATTTGGGAAGTTATGCATTTTAAAAATTATAATAGACTAAAGGCCTGATGCACGAAATTCGTGCAAGAGTAGGTCTTTCTTCCCCTGGCTGCTGGCATCAGCTTCCCTCTGGCACCCAGGACCCAGTCTTCCCTCCAGCCATGGCAACAGGTTGTTTCTCTCACAACCTGGCTTTGTCCGGAAGGATGTCTGGTCTCATTAGCATATTGTGCTTTGATTATTATTGATAAATCCAGATTAGATTAATATCCAAAATGTGAACTAGAATCACAGTTATCATTATTGTTTTCATTATTGCTTATATTTTCACAGCATCAGCAGAATGTGTATAAAAGCTTTTACCTGAATTTTAACCATAAAAGTCTTTGTTGAAAGTTACCACTGTATCATTAGCTATTAGAAACCTGTCATTTACTGTATTAACACTTGTTTATTTGGCCAAATGGCTTTTCTTTTCTAGGGTTCTAGTCATAAAAATAAATTGTCTGACCATCAAGAAAAAGAATTGAACCTGAAAAACGAATTAAAAGAAATGCAAGAATGGATGATCAAGATGGAACACCACCTGAATAAGGATTTTGAATACAAGGCACCAGAAGAACTTGAAAACGCTGTACAGGAGATGAGGGTGAGGCTGGGATAGTCAGTATCAGCAGGCTTTATCTCTCCCTTTAAAGTCAATCAATCATACAAAAGACCATCCATCTGTCTGTAAATTATAATTGTGCAATTGACTCTTGAACAACACAGGTTTGAACTGTAGGGGACCATTTATACACAGATTTTTAAAAAGAAATACTGTAAATGTATTTTTTCTTTCTTATGGTTTTCTTTGTAACTTTTCCCCTCTCTAGCTTACATATAACATACAAAATATGTGTTAATTGACTGTTTATGTTATTCGTAAGGCTGTTTAAGTTATTGGTCAACAGTAAGCTTAGTAGTTAGTTTTGGGGGAGTCAAAAGCTATTTATGAATTTTGATCCATTGTGTTGTTCAAAGGTCAATGGTACATAATCCTTCATAGGAGGATTTCAAATTAAAAAAAAAAAGAGGAAGGGGAACTGCTGTGATTCTAAAAAGGAAGGAAGTTCAACATGGCTCATGAGTTGAATCCATGTAGGGCCCTGTGACTTTCTTTATTTTAGAACCTGGGGAACCATAGAGACCAAATTAAAAAAATTCAGTAACATCAATTACATTCACAATGTTGTGCAATCATCACAACTATTTCCAAAAATTTTCAGGAATAATTTTTTTTTCATTAGGACCAAGAAACCCTTTCCAGTTTGCTTGGGGTTTATTCTCATTTCATCAGATGTGTTCTGCCAGTTACTACATGGGGCATATGCTGCATGTATATAAGTGGTTTGTTAGAACAGGTAGAGTTGCAATAATCCATTGTCAAGGGATATAATATCAGTTGGGGCCACAGGATATACTTCCCGTGAACTTATATTCCTATGGCAATAGTCTTGAACACTCTTTTTTTTTTTTTTAAATATGAGAAAAGAATTGGGCATCATTCCCAAATTTCTAACCTTACTTCAAGCCTCCTTCAGTGTCCAAACCAAAAGAGATAGTGATTAAAGGCTATTTTAAAAAATAAGATTAAGCAACACATTGAATGTTTTAGGCCAAAGTTAACTTGCCTAAAAGTGTAACTAAAGCAAAAATCTCTCTGCAGATGTTCTTTTAAAAGCATTCCCAGCTTGTGTGACTCAGTGGCTGATGTCAACCTGTGAACCAGGAGGTCATAGTTCAGTTCCAGGTCAGAGCACATACCCGGATTGCAGGCTTGATTCCCCGTAGAGGGCTTGCAGGAGACAGTGAATCAATAATTCTCTCTCATTATTTGTTTATTTTTAAAATATATATTTTATTGATTTTTTACAGAGAGGAAGAGAGAGAAATAGAGAATTAGAAACATCAATGAGAGAGAAACATCGATCAGCTACCTCCTGCACACCCGCACTGGGAATGCTCCACAACCAAGGTACATGCCCTTGACCAGAATCGAACCTGGGATCTTTCAGTCCACAGGCTGATGCTCTATCCACTGAGCCAAACCGGTTTCAGCAATTCTCTCTCATTATTGATATTTCTCTCTCTTTCTCCCTCTCTGAAATCAATAAAAATATATTTTAAAATGGATTAGATGTAAACCATGCATTACCATATATGACAAAAGACTTTTATTGCACTTATATTTTCACAGAAGCATAATTTTTAGTGTAGCTTTTAAATATATATATATAAAATATATATGTATATTTTATATATTATATATATATATTGATTTCAGAGAGGAAGGGAGAGGGAAAGAGAGAAAGAAACATCAATGATGAGAGAGAACCATTTCTGGACTACATCATGCAGACCCCACACTGAGGATTGAGCCCACAACCCAGGCATGTGACCTGACTGAGAATCGAACCTTGATCTCCTGGTTCATTGGTCAGCACTGAATCCACTGAGACATGCCAGCTGGGCTAGTGTAGCCTTTTATTATTTATTTATTTATTTATTTATTTATTTTAAAGCTTTAAAATTATTCAGTATATAAGGTATTTTAAAGGTAGCCTACTACATTAAGATGCTGATATTTTTATCATATGCCCAGACTTTGAAAATATTTAATGTCAATAAACATAAGTTAAGGATGACTTGGGTGTTAACGTTGCCTGCCTGTTATTAAGTGAAAATGTTTATGTGGGACTGTTTTCATTGGGGCATATAATGAGTGTGAATTTATAGCTAGTATTTAAATTAATTTAACTTTATTATTTTATTTTTTCAAAATAAGTCTCTAGTGATTACCTAAATAGTGTTCTAAATTAGGTAGTTGAAATCACATAGATGTTTTAATTTTAGTTTAGTTATTTTAGGAAAAAGAAAGACAATTTTGGTTAGTGAGAAAGGGGGACAGTTTTCATTTCTATCCTTCCCTGGAGCAGAGAGTGAAAGAAGATGTGCTGCAAAAAGAAATCCAAATGAAGACACTCAAGGACAACATCAAGGATATAGCTAGAATGGCGCCCTCTAGTGGGCAGGAATTGACTCTTGCCTTGGATGTTGAGCTTGAGAATTAACAACTTCTTTGCAACAGCATTCGAGGAAAATGCCACACTTTTGAGGTATGATATGTTTTTCAGTGATGTGTTTCTGAGATTAAAACTTTGTAATGTACTGACAATTTCCATTTCTTGGAAAAAAACTTGATTTTTTCCCCCAAACACTGCATCATAAAGGAAAACATTTCTTGGCTAATAGGTTAATAAAATGAAGCAGGGATAACAAAATATAGGGGATCAAGATCTGCCCTCAATTAAGGTTCATGGGAAAGACATTTAACATCTTTAGATCTTACATTTTTTATATTTGAAATCAAGGTTTTTATATCACAGGTGATCTATAGGCAGATTCGATAGATTCTAGAACAGTGTAATGTGAACATCTCTTGTTTTTCCTGGTTAGTGCACAGACAGAAATGGAGATTTTTAAAATGTTTTATTTAGAGTGGCATCTACAGTTAGAATCACT